CAGTTCCGCATACTGAGCGCCCTAAACACGGCCCCCACAGGACGACTGTCACAATCTTGTTGTTGTGTGCAGCCGTTAGATAAGTAGAGGAGGTAACAAAGGTTGCAAAAAAATTAGAACGCCCGAAGGTGCAAAGATATTGTATAGCTAGGTCGGAAGATTTGTTTCTTTATTAGCAGTGATCGGCGGGTCCTTCCCGGCGGGCATCTCTGCGAACTTTTCAGGTTAGGTCGATTTGGCCCGCGAGCTGGCCCTAGTGTTCCGAGTCATAATTGCTTATAAATTAATTGATGATTGTTTTTTGGAGGTTGAACGTACGCCCTAAGTCGCGGTTTAAAGCGTTAGTGAAGTAGTTTATATTTACCTAGGGCGTTGTTCCTTCCTCTGGTGATCCTCGGCTCGGTATGTTCCAGTATACCGAGACTTCTTGTGATGTCCTTGGAAATTATAACACTGGTCACCTGTGTAGATCGTGTTGCTTGGCAGCTAACCAAGCCCGACCGTTCACCGAACCAATTCAAGCGATCGATACCTTTCCTCGAGTAGCCAGCCGGACAGATCAAGCCGTATAGAAACGTAGCGATCTATGTCCGTGCAATGGCGTACCGATTCTGGCAGATCAGCCGAAAAGGTCTGAGCGACTGAGTCTGGATGGTAAGCAAACCTTGCTACTCGATCACAGAGACTATTACTAGTAGCAGTGAGGCAACGAACTCCCACTACTACAATCGATTACAAAATGGTGCTGTAACTGGCTACTGAAACTCCACCCGCAACGCCGAATGTCAAACAACCAGTCAAGACTGACTCAGCCGAATATCAAGCGAATCGGTGTCAAGTATCTGATTATCGAGAATCGGGCTACGAATGGAGAGTCAGCGTTCAAGCGTAAACGAGAGGTGCGTTCGTGTGGACAGTCTGCGCTCGAATGTGGTTCAAAGTGTCTGACCAACCAACAATTTATCTCAGTGGAATTTAACGTTAGCTTACCAGCTGGACCAGGAAACGCATCTACGTTGAAGAATTATGCAATCTTCCAGTCGAACGGACAGAAGAAATGTGGTTCAAAGTGTCTGACCAACCAACAATTTATCTCAGTGGAATTTAACGTTAGCTTACCAGCTGGACCAGGAAACGCATCTACGTTGAAGAATTATGCAATCTTCCAGTCGAACGGACAGAAGACGACCATCTGAACTTGCGGACAGGCAGGTGGCTAATTACCACGGGTTAGAGTTGAGACGTAGCGGACATTCTCAGACCAGCCGACAACTTTGATGTCCAGAGTTCAAACAGGATAGCGGGTCCAGTTGTCTAAGCAGGCGAATTTCGCACATTAATGTGATACACGTAATCTACCTAGTGATGTCTAGTGATGTTACAACAAACTCGTAATCACAAGGGCGGAACTTGGACAACAGGGTAGAAAATTTACGGATGCCTGTGACCTGATTGATTCTATTATACTTTCATACTGTGCCAAAAGAGAAAATCTAACCATTTTTCGAAAATAAAAATTTCAAAAATGGAAATATTTGAACTACTGCATGTAAACAGTGAAAGTAGGTGCAAACATTAGTTAAGCAATATACAAGTAACCTGCAGTCTTCATCTTTTATCATCTTACCAAAAGTATATCTAAATCGATAAACGCCTTTTCCCTTCTCCCGAGGATACTCAGTCAGCTCAATATATTTCACGAGTCTTTATTAGGCTGTATCTGTTTAACCAGGGACTATTACAACCAACCAATAATCGACTTCGGTAACAATAATAACCACGTATTGATGCCCTTCCAAGTAGCGACAAGTCACACACAAGACATTTTGTGTGGGTTCCAAGGAGGAAAAAAAAAAGAATTGATCCACTGCCACCTGAAAAGAATGTTGTAAAAGGCAACTAATTAGGACTGCTGAAATCAGATGTGTTGGGGCGAAAGGCGCAGATATCGCAACCTAGCACGAAAGGCGCAGATATAGCAGCGTATTTGTAAACCACAATACACTATGCCAACCGCCATTTCAAGAACGAAAAAAAAAAAAAAAAGAGATTAGCTGCCCTTGACATGACCATTTAGCACTTCGCGCCCGCTATCGCAGCCTAGCTGTTAACCACAAGACCGAGCGAAGGGCGCAAATATCGCAGCCTAGTTGTAACCACAACACAACGTGCAAACCACCCTTTTAAAGAAAAGCCCGACCACCGGCGTAACAAGCAGACTGCTTATCAACTGTACTAGCGAAGCAGATATCGTAGCTGTAGCGAAGCAGATATTGTAGCCTAGTTGTAACTACAAAACAACGTCTAAACCACCCTTTTAGAAGTTTAAAAAAAAATGTGCCGCCGCTATCGCAACCTAGCTGTTAACCACAAGACCGAGTAAAGGCGCAAAACCACCCTTTTGCAAGACCGAGCAAAGGGCGCAAATATCGCTGCTTATCAAATGTACTAGCGAAACAACGTTTAAACCACCCTTTTAAAAGTAAAAAAAAAATTTGCCGCCGCTATCGCAACCTAGCTGTTAACCACAAGACCGAGTAAAGGGGCGCTATCGCAGCCTAGCTGTTAACTACAAGACCAAGCGAAGGGCGCAATCGCAGCCTAGCTGTTAACCACAAGACCGAGTAAAGGCGCAAAACCACCTTTTTGAAGAAAAAAAAAGAAAATATTGACCGCCGGAGAATCGAACCCTGATCACCGGCGTAACAAGCAAACTGCTTATCAACTATACTAGGGAAGACTCGGTAATTTCGTTCAAACGAAATTATATAATAAAAAAAGCATAGTTTGTAGTGTTCCTGTTCCATATTTTTAACTACATGACCTCTCAAGTCCCTAACAACGACCTCTTGAGGCCCTGAATGGGATTTTTTGTCTTTGAATAATATGGGGCCGGTATTCGCAGAATCAGTATCACATCACCAGTCAAAACAAACGATAGAACTAGAATGCAGCTTTATTAACACTCGATTAACATGAACAAAACTTTGATCCCAGCAAAGATTTATTATTTTTAGTCCTAGGTAGCACGAATTCTCTACTTTTTAACACGAACTCGATTTTCGGTTCCTTAGGATTCATGTTAACGAAGTGTTCTATATTTAGAGAACATCTTCTTCTTCTTCTTTGCACTCGGTTTCGTATGCTTAGGTCAGATTGCCGGATGGGCTTCCTCTATAAATTCGCCAGTCAGTTACAAGTCCTTGGTGGTTCCCCACAGCTTGCTTTGCACCCTTTTCCCTTTAGGCCAGGTTTCTCTTCCTGCGTGTAAATAAAGTGGACAGGCCTGCAGAAACTGCTTATATGTTCGTAGTCTCACCTGACAGGCACACTGCAGCAGACTACGTGTTTTATTTTATGCATCTGGCAGTTGAGCTTGCAGTGTTCTGTTCTTAGATGGACAATTGTATATCTGTTTTCTGTTGATGTTTGCTGTTGATTTTTTATCTTCACAATTCCTTGTATTTTCTCCTGATAAGTGATCTGATTTTAGCACAGGTTTGCTGTTGAGATGGTTATGTAAATAGTATGCTGGCCTTGAACAAGTCATTCCTCCGTGCTCTCATCATCCAGCACACAAAGTTATGTAGAAACCACCTGACCCCAGAGCTAAAGCTTCATCTGATCACTCAAGAATGCCATCTCTGGAAGGCTGGTGTGGACAACTGCCCCTTTGAGGATCCATTCTGGGCATTTTATTGGCCTGGTGGACAAGCACTTACAAGGTGAATAATTTTATGTTTTTCATTGAGTCTTTTCTTTTCTCTGTTCTTATTTTTCAGCAGTGCAACTCCACAAAAGTGTCAGTACAATAAGATGATTCAGATTAACAGAACTGGTCCCCCTTAAACAAATGTTTTGACCCATTAATTTTTTGACATGTTGGGTAAGAAGGCTCAGATTTGATAATTCATCATCACAAGTGCCTTGCCAGCTGAGTAATGCATTTATGCATCTCTGCAGATCTCGGTCTTTGGTGTTCTGGATCCATTCCACTGGTGATATTTTTCCATGCCACTGTCTTAAGCCATCCACCATCGTTTCTCTTCATCTGCCTCTGCTACTTCTACCAGTAGTCTTTCTAGTCATTACAATATTTTCCAGTGCTCCTTTTCTCTTCACATTACAAAGAACTCAGGTAATTTGAAAATTTGATAATTACGGGAACAAATATGATTATGTACCAATGATCATTGACCATAAGGCATGGTGATGAAGAAATGAAGACAGGAACACGAACAACAGCAACAGAAAATGAAACAAGAAGAAAATTTATCAGAAAGAGGAGAAATAAATGGATAAAAAGGAAAAAATAAGAGTTAAGACATATACTGTTCATGTTAATAAACTGAATATTGTAAACAATTTGTATAATTTTTTCAATCCAACCCTACAGGTATATCCTCGACAACCCAGTGTTGTTCAAAAATAGAAGAGTTCTTGATATTGGCAGTGGCTGTGGTTCTGCAGCAATAGCTTCTTGTCTAGTGGGGGCATCCCAAGTTGTGGCAAACGACATAGACCCAGGTAGGGATCTGCACACATCTGACCTCATCTCATCCTACTTTACCCCATCTCATCCAGTCTTGTCTCATCCCATCTCACCTCACATCATCTCATCCCTTTCCACCTCGCCTCCTCTCTTTCCACCTCGCCTCCTCTCATTCCATCCCATCTCAATCCATTTTTTTTAATCCCATCACATCTTATCCTTATCTCACCTCATCCCATGTTACCTTATCCTTCTTTCACTATTCCATCTCATCCTCCACATACCATCCCAGCTAACTCTTATCTCACTTCATCAGAACTCAGCCCATCTCATCCTCCTTACATCATCCCATCCCACCTCGTCCTCCCACATCATAGTCTCATTCCATACCATCCCAAGCCATCTAATCTCATCTTGTACCTTGCGGTCATAAAGTGGAATTTGTTCTACCAAAAGAAGTTGTCTGGACCTGTTCAGTTTTCTCCATAACATTTTTATCAGATGTAATCGTTTAGAGCTGCAGGAGTTTCAAGGAAAGACAATAAGAAATCAGAAGAATGCTAGGAATAAAGCCAGTCTTACAGGTCATCAAAAAACAACAAATGAAGTGGTTTGGACACCTAACAAGAATGCTCAGGTACTATCTGCCACAGCGAGCCACACTAAAACGTTACAACGGGTATAGAGCGAAAGAGACCTAGGAAAATATGGAGTGATGACATTAAGAACAGCCTTACAGAAATGAACATCAATCTTAATAGTGCTCTTGACAGAGCTCATCAATGAACATTACATCCATACCCCCCCCCCCTCCTCATCAATGAACATTACATCCATACCCCCCCCCCCCCCCCCCCACCCCGACGACGATGAAGTACAAGGTGGAAGAGAAGAAGAAGAATCAACATATCACCTATTCCCAGCATTTTTTTTTTCAAACTAGATTCGTCCTTCAGTTTAGTTTTTAGACTCCAATGCCTCCAAGTGGGGATGTCGTCTTTGCAATTCCATCTGCAGGTGGTGCATTGCAGCAGGCTTTTTTCAGAACAGTCATATGCATTGTTTGGCCTTCAAGGGAAGGCAGTTGTATTATATGGGCACTCCCCACCATCCAGGGAGAATTACAAAAATGCAGAGCCAATATATATGTTAGTCTCTCTCTGCCTCTCTTCCCCTTAAACATATATTCTGTGTAAGTTTTTGTGTGTGGGTGTGTTTTGTTATACAAACGTTAGTCTCCCCAAACAAAGCAGGTCACATTCTATTCATACGTTTTTTGAGCTGGTCTACCTTCCTGCAGGTTATGGGTGTGCCGCTCTGTATTACAAGCACTAGTGTGCTGAAATATGCAACAAGCGATATCAAGGGCATTGCAGGAAACCTCTGTTACCTTCTTGCATGGCAGCATGGCTCAAGATGACCAATCAGAAGTGAGCTAGGCTGAAGGTCAACCAATCAGAAGTGAGCTAGTGTGTAACACTGTAAATGGGAAGACTAACATTTGTATTACTTTTTTTTATCTCTCCTAAAAACAGCTGCCTCCGTTGCCATTGAAATTAACATGGAGAAAAATGGAGCAGATGTTCAGATCAGCACTGAGAACTTTCTAGAAAACCCACCCAGTGAACAATATGACACTGTCCTCTTTGGTGACATGTTTTATGATCCAGACTTCAGTCATCTGATCTCACATTGGGTGAAGAAATTACCACATAAAACAACCGTGTTCATTGGTGATCCTGGCCGCCTCCCATTTTTAAACCATCCACTAAAATCAGCACTGCAAAAAGCGGCCAGATATGAGCTACCCATAACTTGCCAGTTAGAAAATAATGGACTGACACAAGCAGACGTATGGAAGTACATTGTTAGTAAATGATTTTATTCTAAAATCAGTTTTGTAATAAATTTTCTATTGCAATTACAAAATATTTTTTGTTTGTTTGTTATTTCCATCAATGTTTAATAAACTTGGTTTGTTTGTGAAGGATCACCCTAGCTGCATCTCCGTAACTGCGTCAGTCTTTGCCAACAGACCAGTGAGATCCATATTCTCAACATACTGCACAAACTTCATGGCACGGGTGGTGATCCATATGTGTCAATAACAGAATCACACATAATATTTAATAAAACTGTCACAGCTCCGCAGTAACTTCTTCTTTCTTCTTTGCGTTCACCAGCTGTAAACTCTGGTGGAAAGTTCTGGTTGTTCGTCCACTTCTGGACTGCAGTCCTGTTCCAGAACCTGAATGTTGCGTGTGCATCCGTTTGACAGATCTGATTCATTTGTGTGCAGACTGTTGGTTCCTTGCGAGCAGACAACAGTTAATGAGAATGTCTGTAGCTTATTTACTAGCAGATGTTTTAGTCAGTCACCAGGTTTCTGTTCAATATAATTATCAGTCAATTGTGGTAAGTCGGTCAACAATTTAATCACAGTGTAACATAACATAACCCTTGACCCATTAGGGTCGTGGAGGTAGGTGTATTGTTTGAAGCACTAGCACATAAAACCTGCCATCTTTCTCTGTCTTTGGCTTGATGAATAAGTGTATGATAACTTAGTCCAGTCCCTTTCTTGATGTTGTCATTCCAGGTTCTTCTTTGCCCTCCCATCACAGTGCGAGAGCTTACTGAGCTAAAATCAAGCTCACTTCTCACACTCAGGCAACATACAGTAAACATCAACAATCCATCAACATTACACAGGTGTTTTATTTCTCATTCATAGTCTGAACTTGTCGACACTAGACAAATGAAACCATATTGTACACCACTTCTAAATCCAGAAAACCTACAAAGAACGATGAACTAACATTCACAATGACAGGCATATGTACAATTACTATAGCATTGTTCTTGAGCTTCGGGAAAACCAACAATGAACTAAATTCATTCAAATAACCAGCTGTTTATTAGGACCTTTCCATCTTCCAGACGACAGTGTTATATTTCGCATTACGGAGGCATGACAGTGGAGGGTGTACCTAGCAAGACCTGCTCGGGATAAGACATGTCTTCCTCAATTAGAGCATGCGATTTCAGGACTTCTGCTGCCATATCACGTTTTTAACATGCTTTTTCTCAGATACTCTACTCTTGAACATATCCGCAATCAGTGTCTCCTTTATCCGTATTACCTTCCTCCATCAACATTTAAATTATCTACTGGCGGTCATAAATATAAAGCACACAAAAGCAAAATGGTTTGGTCATCCCATTAGAATGCAGCCACAACAACTACCTATACAGGAACTACACTTAAAAAATCGAATGTGAGAACATGAGGGTGCCCAAGGATGTTACAGATTTATGACATTAAAGACATCACTGATTTATGACATAAAGTGACATTCTTGGAATGACAATGGCCAGTGCCACCCATTAAGCACTGGACCGCAAACTGTTCCTCCCCATGACACTTATGGAAAAAGTGGAACTTTATGGTGATGATACACAACAAAAGATGATTGTGAAAGATGACATAAAACAAAACCAGGATGCAGATTGGCTACAAATTCCAGAGGCTGGCTATAAATCCCAGAGTTTGACTACAAATCCCACGCCATATGGTTGGCTATAAATCCCAGAGGGTGGCTGTATATTTCAGGTTAGCTGTAAACCCCAGGAGCTGGCTACAGATCTCAGGTTAGCTATAAATCTCAGTTTGGCTATAAATCCCAGTTCAGCTACACATCTCCTACTGGCTATAAATCTAAGAGTGTTGGCTATAAATCCCAAGTTAGCTATAAATCCCAGTTCAGCTACACATCTCCTACTGACTATAATTCTAAGAGTGTTGGCTATAAATCCCAAGTTAGCTATAAATCCCAGTTCAGCTACACATCTCCTACTGGCTATAAATCTAAGAGTGTTGGCTATAAATCCCAAGTTAGCTATAAATCCCAGTTCAGCTACACATCTCCTACTGGCTATAAATCTAAGAGTGTTGGCTATAAATCCCAAGTTAGCTATAAATCTCAGGTTGACTATAAATATAAAACATGGGCTACAAATCTCATAGGCTGGCTATAAATCTAATACCAATTTCCTATACAGGTCCAAATATTAACATTTGAAAAACACTATACAAAAATTTAATCTCGGATAGGACATCACCTGGATGTTGCAAACTGATTATCAAAACACAAGAAAACGAACAATTTAAAAAAAAATTTACAAAAGACACTTTATAATGATTATTTAAAAAAAAAAATTAATGAACACATATTAATTAAATATATACAAACACTTAAGGACAATAAAAATCAAAATGCTCTCTAGTGGGGGTCCTTTGGATACTCTTTCTGGGACAGCTGCAGGTGTGTTTGAAGATGAACAGGCAGACAGACTAGCCAGTTCTACCCCACTTGATGATAAACTGAAGCTCCCCGTATGGGTTCTGGGGTCCCACTGCGGGGAAAACAAGAATACAGCTACTGCCTCGCCAACAAGCATGTCGTAAAGTCAAATAATTTGGGGTTTCCTTCAAAGTCGGAGTGCATCAGCCTAAGAGGTACTGAACCAACAGTCTGCATACAAATAAGTCACATCTGTAAAACAGATGTGCACGCAAGAGTTTCTGGAACAAGTTTACAGTCCAGAGGTGGATGAACAGCCAGAACTTTCTGCTGCAGTTTACAGCTAGTGAACATGAAGAAATAGAAAAGGCTAATTTGGGGGGGAAAAACCTGGACAATGCCGAAGCACAAACAGATCACCCTGATCCGAGGAGAATGGTAGAGCAAGGAGTGGCTAAGGATTGAGCTGACATTATACACCCAGAGGGAAAGGCTACTAGTGACATCAGAACTCAAACTTTGCTCTGACTGCTGAGGAGGGGGGCAGAGTGCTTATGGGAATGTCCCAAATGCTATGATGTCACTTTTTAAACTCAGCTTTAACCTCCTTCATTCGCTCTCAGGTAAAACTTTCTCCACACCGCAAGGCGTGTAATGCTGGAACTATATTTTTTTACGGCAATCAAAACTACTGTTGGTGTTGTCATGAACATCGTGCTGGCTGCCTTCACTTTCCAGGACTTTACCTGGTAACTATTTAAGGCTGGGTCGACCTGGGACATAAGGTCATTCTTGAAAAAGTCTGTCCCCCCCCCCCCTCCCCCCTTTTTCCTCCGTTTGGATTTGAACCCAAGACCTTGAGATCTGCAGGTGAGAATCTAGCTGCTACACAATGACAGCTCCCTTCACTCTGAAGTAACCACACACCTATAAAAGTTAGTTGTGTATCCTTTACAGGACGTTGCAGAACCAACCCCCAGCAATTTTTGGGCTGTTGTGGCTTTTCCTGGCAAATGTACACCCAGTAGTCTGCCCCTGCTTTCTGGATGGTCAGCTTCTTGATACCACTGTTGAAACCAACGCAAGGCAAGCAGCTGGGATCTAACCTGGCACCCCGGCATTACAAAGCTCATTCGCAAGGCCTAAGCCACAAACGCCAACAACCGCATCTATATATATTAAAACATAAACAACATTAATGTCCACAGACATAACTACACAATCAAAGTCAAAACAAAGAAATACAATCAACAAGATATTAAGAATTTCACAAAATCTGAATACTCTGGCATCATACAGAAAAAAAAAAAAAACTGCCATTACTCGCTGTATTTCGTTCAGTGTAGGCAGGATGGTCTTTGAGCGTGAGGATTTAGGCCGGCGTAGCTAGTGCCATCACCCCAGATTGTATAGGTTAGGATTTTATTTTTAGCCCCCAACAGAAAGAATATCCATAACCATACTGAAGATTCGAACCTAAGTCTTCTGCATGAAAGCCCTGCGCTCTTAACTGTTCGGCCAGCACCCGCTCCATAATTAACAATAATGGGGAGTTTTCTTCTGCTTCTGCACTAGCCCCCAGGGGGCATGCTGTGCTGTGGTGTACAGCCAGGCTGTGATATCTATGTCTTTTGACCCTAAACACCTCATTTCCTTAAAACCGTTATCCAATTACCATGTACTCTACTTCTTCTTGGGAACATGGAGGAGGGGGGGGGGGGGGGGGTAAAATCGCGGCTGGTCTATCCCACCACCCCTTTTTCATGTAACCCTGGAACCCACACAGGGCAAAGGTAATGTTAAAAAGAAGTCAAATAGAAACTGCTGGTATTAGCACCATAGATGTTAAAACAGCATTAAGAAGATATGGCACAATGCAAAACAAATCTGCATAAGAGACAAGGTGGCATAGTGACTGGACTCTTACCTGTGAGACCAAAGATCTTGAGGTTCAAATGCACACTGATGCAGATTTGTACAATAGTTGACCTAGGGAACCTAGGTTGACTCAAGTCTAAAATGGTACCAGGAAAAGTCCTAGGAAGTAAACGTGGCTAGTTAGGACAAAAAGGTGGCTAATTAGGAAGAAAAGAAGGCTAGTGTTAAACTGAGTTGATTCAAGAATCGACACCACAGCTCTCGGGGCATTTCCATAAATGCTCCGTCCAGCATCTTCAGCAGCCAGCGCAGAGTTCCAATACTAATAGTGCCAGTAGCAGTCTGATTATATGACCCTCTTGTCTTTCCTCTGAGTGTCGAGTTCTCGGCCAGATCCCTTCGTCGCTCCTCACTCCATCACTCTCATGTCTGATTATATGACCGTCTTGTCTTTCCTCTGAGTGTCGAGTTCTCGGCCAGATCCCTTCGTCGCTCCTCACTCCATCACTCTCATGTCTGATTATATGACCGTCTTGTCTTTCCTCTGAGTGTCGAGTTCTCGGCCAGATCCCTTCGTCACTCCTCACTCCATCACTCTCATCTTATTGTGTTGATCCCCGTGCTCCTCGGCATTGTTGAAAAGTTGCGCAGAGCCAGCCAGTTTGTTGATTTCTCAAGAAACACATACCCTGGAGAA